CAAATCCCAGAATTTCTTTCGAGTCACTGTGCTGAGATAACTAAAGGTTTTATCAGTATACCAGAGTGATATCTCAGTCAGACAATGCATTTTAGGCGTGATGCCTTGGTTAGAATCTGGACTTGGAGTCAGACTGGTTTTATTTCCAAAGTATGAATTTATAAAATGCCACATTGACCCACACCACATTGACTGTCTACAAATTGTGTGCTTTTTGAGCAAAATACGTTGTATCTGCAATTACAAATCTGCAAAGCAAATTCACTCGATAGATTTGTATGTGTGGGAGAGAGTGTGTGAGTGTGGGAGAGAGACAGTGTAGTGTGTGTGCGTCTGTGTGTTCCTGTGAGGGAGGGAGACAGAGAGTGAGTGTGTGAGTGAGTGATAGAAAGAGAGAGAGTGTGTGAGTGTGCGTGTGTATGTGAGAGAGTGTGTGTATGAGAGAGAGTCTGTTTGAGAGAGAGAGGGAGAGGGAGAGTGTGTGTGTGTGGGGGGGGACAGAGGTAGAGAGAGAGTGTGTGTGAGTGTGTGTGTGAGTGACAGAGAGAAGGCGAGAGACTGTGTGTGTGAGTGAGCGTGTGGATGTGAGAGAGTGCATGTATGAGAGAGAGAGTGTGCAGATGTGAGAGAGTGCGTGTATGAGAGAGAGAGTGAGCGTGTGTGGGACAGAGATAGAAAGAGAGTGTGTGTGTGAGAGAGAGTGTGCGTGTATGAGAGAGGGTCTGTTTGAGTGTGTGTGTGTGTGACAGTGTGTGTGCTTGAGAGAAAGAGTGCGTGAGTGTCCGTGAAAGTGTGTGTATGAGGGTCTGTTTGAGTGTGTGTATGTGTGTGTATGTTTGTGTTTATGTGAGATACTGTGTGTGTGTATTTCTGCGTGTGTGAGAGTGTATAGTGGGGTGGGGTCACCTATGGGTGTGAAAAGAATCCAAAATCCCGGTTGAGGACGTCCTCATGGATACTGAACTTGGCTATCAGCCTCTGCTCGGCGATTCAAAACCAACACACCTGGACGTCCCACTGTATCAGGCAATGGGACCCTGTGTGAGAACCTCTCTGGCTATGTCAAGGGTATCTTGAAGTCCATTGTACAAGGAACCCCCAGCTTCTGTCGCGACACTACAGACTTTTTACAGAAAATCAGCTCCCATGGACCAGTCAAACCAGGAACATTCCTCATCACAATGGACATTTTGGCACTCTACACCAGCATCCCCCCAGATGACAGCATTGCTGCAACAGCCTCAGTACTTAATACCACCAACTGCCAATTTCCAGACACCCATCCTACAATTCATCCATTTCATCCTCAACCACAACGTCTTCATCTTCGACAGCCAGTTCTTCATCCAGACACACTGAACCGCCATGGGGACCAGATTTGCTCCTCAATACGCCAACACCTTCATACACAAGTTCAAACAAGACTTCTTCTCTGCCCAGGACCCTCGAACAACTATACACCAGATACACTGACGACATTTTCTTCCTTGGGACTCATGGTGAGGAATCACTGAAACAGCTACATAGCGATATCAACAAGTTTCATCCGACCATCAGACTTTAGAATCAGTCTCATTCTTGGGCACACACATCTCCATCAGGGATGGACACCTCAGTACATCACTCTACCACAAGCCCCGGATAATCTCACAATGCTACACTTCTCTAGCTTCCAAATTAAACATATTAAAAAAGCCATCCCCTACAGACAAGCCCTGCACATACACAGGATCTGTTTGGATGAGGAGGAACGTGATGGACACCTGAAGGTTTTGAAAGATGTCCTCATAAGACTGGGATACGATGCTCAACTCACCAATCGCCAGTTCCGACATGCCACAGCGAAAAACCATAATAACTTCCTCAAAAGACAGACACGGGATATATCTGATACCCTTTATCATCCAGTACTTCCTGGGAGCGGAGAAACTACATCATGTTCTTCACAGCCTTCAACACGTTATCGACGACAATGAGCACCTCGCCAAGATCTTCCCCACGTCTCCACTTTTCGCCTTCAAATAAACGCCAAACCTTAAACAGACCATTGTTCAGAGCAAACTACCCAGCCTTCAGGACAACATTGACCACAACACCACACAATCCTGCCATGATAACCTCTGTAAGACATGTCAGATCATCGACATGGACACTACCATCGCACGTGGGAACAACCCCCACCACGTGCACAGCAGATACTCATGTGACTCGGCCAATGTTGTCTCTCTCATATGCTGCAGGTAAGGATGCCCCAAGGCATGGTATACTGGTGAGACCATACAGACGCTACGACAGCGGATGAATGGATATCGCGCAACAATTGCCAGACAGGGATATTCCCTCCCAGTGGGGAGCACTTCACTGGTGAAGGACATTCGGCCTCGGACCTTGGGGTAAACGTTTTCCAAGATGGATTTCGGGATACACAACAACGCAGAGTTGCCGAGCAGAGGCTGATAGCCAAGTTCGGTACCAAAGAGGACGGCCTCAACTGTGATCTTTGGTTCATGTCACACTATAGTTGACCCCACCACACTATCTACTCTCACACAAACACACACACACAACACAAACACATATTCTCTCTCTCCCTCACATACATACACTCTCTCCCTCCCTCACGCATGCGTGCACACACACACACACTCACACACGCACATAGATTGCACACACATATATTAGTCTATGGGGTGAATTTGCATTTGCAGATACATTGTATTTTGTTCAAAAAACACACAATTTGTAGACAGTCAATGTGGCATTTTATAAATTCATACTTTGGAAATAAAATCAGTCTGACTCCAAGATAAAACACAAACAGATTCTAACCAAGGCCTCACACCTAAAATGCATTGTCTGACTGAGATGTCACTCTGGTATTCTGATAAAACTTTTAGTTATCTCAGCGCAGTGACTTGAAAGAAATTCTGGGATTTGAATTTTAGTCAATCGAAACCTGGATCTCCTTTCTAACTAATTAAAGAATTAACAGCCATCTTTGGTTTGTTCAATACATTCGCATCAGTTCTATATCCCTTTGATCTTTTGCTTGTAAATTCTGTGTCTGATGCCACCTCCCTCACTAACACCTGACGAAGGAGTGAGGCTCCAAAAGCTTGTGTTTTCAAATAAACCTGTCAGACTATAACCTGGTGTCGTGTGATTTTTGACCTTGTCCATCCCAGTCTAACACCAGCACCTCCACATCATGACAATAGGGAGCCTCAGGATTTTGCCTTAGGAATGATGTCAGATTAGTTTGTGAGCTCGTGAGAAATACTGACCTAGTAGTTTCCTGTAAAATTTCTTTTTAATTTGTTATGGTCTATGAGTGTCGCTGGCCCATCTCTAAATTGTAGCCTCTGATCGATTTTTTAGCCACTGGTGCAATGTTGATGATGTAGGATTCAGCAATGGCAACCTATATTCCCTCTAAACTTTTTTTTTTCTGTACGGATTTCCAAGCCCATTCATATCAGGGACTTCTGAAACTGGAGGTCGGCGCTGGGAACAGTTTCAGCACGCCAAATGCCTCAGACCATCTGGATAGCTGTGAAGCTTAAATGGAACATGGCGGTTAAAAGAGCAAGTTACAGAGCATCTGGGTTTCTGCGAATCTTAGAGGAAACACAGCAATTACAAGAGCAGGAGAGAGGCTAGAAACTTGCAGCAAGTAACTCACTCCTGACTATCAAAAACCTGTCTGACATCTATAAAGCTCAAGTTCAGAGTATGGTGGAATACTCCCCACTTGCCTGGATGAGTGCAGCTCCAACAACACTCAAGAAACTTCACACCAACAAGGACAAAGCAACCCGCTTGACTGGCACCACATCCAAAAACATTTAGTTACCCCATCACTGACAGACAGTAGCAGCAGTGTATACCATCTACAAACTGAGTTGCTGAAATTCATCCAGGTTCCTCAGACAGCACCTTCCAAACGCCAAACCCTACTATCTAGAAGGACAAGGGCAGCAAATAAATGGAAATACCACCACTTGAAAGTTCCTCTCCAAGACACTCACCATCCTGACTTGGAAATATACCACTGCTCCTTCAGTGTCATTGGTTCAAAATCCCAGAACCCTAATGGCGATGTGACTCTACATTCGGCAAACTTACTGCAGTGGTTCAAAGTAGTTCACCACCACCTTCTCAAGGTGAACTAAGGATGAGCAATTCCACATTAGTCCAGCCAGCAACACTTACATGCCATGAATGAGTAAAAAAAAGGTGGGATTAGTTGAGAGTATAGATGAGAGTAAAGAGTATAGGCATGGGTGTTGAGGGCAGAATGGTCTCCTGCTGTGCTCCGTACTGTAACTCAATGATGACTGCCACGGGGAAGTAATTCAACTCCCTTCTGCTGAAAATGATCATAGTCCAACTGCGACATATTTTCCCCACTCCTGTTCATGCCTTTGCTGGTGCCCTGATCTTGCAGACCAGAGACATACTTCCTAAAAGATTCAAAAACAAACTCCTAGAGAAACTCAGCAGGTCGAGCAGCAGCTGTACAGAGAGAAACAGAGTCAATGCTTCAAGTCTGGTGACCTTTCTTTATAACGGTCACTGGACTCAATGTGCTAACAACTCTTTGTGCACAGATTTTCCCTCTGCAGATTCCACCAGATCTGCAAAGTTTCTCCAAAAATTTTACATCACTAGCATCTGTATTGGTTTTACTTCCCAAAATATTCTTCTTTTGAAACTTGCTGTACTGTATTTTAATGAAATTAGTAACTCTCTGAAAAACACAATCTATGAAATTGCAAATATGACCATAAGGACTTTGAGCAAAGGTAACACAAATATTCAGGACTGCATCCTTCTGCAATACCTTATGCCTCCCGATGGCGCACCAACACCAGGGTAGCAATTGACCACCCTTATGTTGGCCCATCCTGACCAGCGACACGTCAGTACCCGGCGTTCTGGGAGATGTAGTTCGCTAGCCTTCCTCCCATAGGGATACACGAGGTAGAGAAAACATCAATTCCCGGCGTGCATTGCACGGCAGGGGGCGTGGCTCATCGCGCAGTCGCAGTGGCACGGTGTCCGGAAGTTCTGGACGGTTTGTTGTCGACGTGGGGAAGGCCGGCAGGTGCAGTCGCAATGGAGTGAGGCGGATGCAGACAGCTTTAGTGTGATCGTTTCTCCTGTTGAGCTGGGCGCCGAACATGTGGCTGAAACCCGAGGAAGTGCTGCTGAAGAACGCCCTGAAGCTATGGCTGACGGAGAAAACACACAAGTACTTTGTCTTACAACGTCGCAGAGGATACGGAGAAGGGGGCGGTGGACTAACGGGTAAAGTGGAGAGTCGACGGAGAGTGCGCAGGCGCACTGTGGTCGGGATGCCGGCTGCCGGGCAGGACGCAGCCGCAGTGTGGATAGGGTGCCGGCTGCTGGACGGGATGCAGGCGCAGTGTGGGTAGGGTGCCGGCTGCCGGGCATCACGCAGGCGCAGTGTGGATAGGGTGCCGGCTGTTATGTTCTGAAAAGGAAACACACGAGAAACACATTCCTTTGCTGAAGTCTCAGTGTAGATGTTACTGCAGAATGCAAAGCATGGGAAACTTTGTGTTCTGTTTGATGGGTTTATCGGCAAACTGCCAATTATCTTTGCCTTTTGATTATTATTTGTTTAATTCTGATATTTATTAATTTACCGTAATTATTAATTATTGGTTCCTCACATTCAGCCTTCTGATAATTAATCGTCTGACATTTAATAGTTTCTATCATTGAAATTGTTTGTATTTCATACGCCTTTATCTGACATTTATTAACTTATTTGCGTTTTATCATTTGCTGTGCTTTATTTGTATTGTTTCTATCTGTTGCTGTTTGTCACTGATTCCTTTCATCTTACCCTAAGATTTAAAAAGACTGACATATGGGTGATGATTACTTTTGTGACGATTTTTCTTTTAAAGACTAGGTCAGGGAGTTCGTCTAGAACAGTGACCTAATCTACTGTGTGACTGTGAACTCCTGGAGTGGTGTTTTTAAAGAGCAGGTCAGGGGATAACGCCATTACTTCTCTGGAATGGCTTCTGCATCTTCCAGTTCCAGTAGTTATTAAAAGCTGTGAAGGTTCAAGCTCTCAGTTTTGAGTATTCATGTGAGGAGACTCCACAGTCACATAGAACATAGAACATTACAGCACAGTACAGGCCTTCGGCCCTCGATGTTGCGCCGACCTGTGAAACCAATCTGAAGCCCATCTCACCTAAACTATTCCATTATCATCCATATGTTTAAATGCCCTTAAAGTTGGCGAGTCTACTACTTTTGCAGGCAGAGCATTCCACACCCTTACTACTCTCTGAGTAAAGAACCTACCTCTGACATCTGTCCTATATCTATCGCCCCTCAATTTAAAGCTATGTCCCCTCGTGCTAGCCATCACCATCTGAGGAAAAAGGCTCCCACTGTCCACCCTATCTAATTCTCTGATCATCTTGTATGTCTCTATTAAGTCACCTCTTAACCTTCTCTCTAACGAAAACAGCTTCAAGTCCCTCAGCCTTTCCTCATAAGACCACCTCTCCATACCAGGCAATATCCTGGTAAATCTCCTCTGCACCCTTTCCAATGCTTCCACATCCTTCCTATAATGCGGTGACCAGAACTGTACGCAATACTCCAAGTGCGGCCGCACCAGAGTTCTGTACAGCTGCAACATGACCTCATGGCTCCGAAACGCAATCCCTCTACCAATAAAACCTAACATACCGTACGCCTTCTTAACAACGCTATCAACCTGGGTGGCAACTTTCCGTGATCTATGCACATGGACACCGAGATCTTTCTGCTCATCCACACTGCCAAGAATCTTACCATTAGCCCAGTACTCTGTATTCCTGTTACTCCTTCCAAAGTGAATCACCTCACACTTTTCCGCATTAAACTCCATTTGCCACCTCTCAGCCCAGCTCTGCAGCTTATCTATGTCCCTCTGTAACCTGCAACATCCTTTCCCACTATCCACAACTCCACCGACTTTGGTGTCATCCGCAAATTTACTAACCACAGGACAGAAACTTGGAGGCAATCAGTCAACGAGAACTTGAAGTAGATAGAAAAATCTTAAACTACAAAGTAGAACAAAGTTTTCAAAACTGTGCTGAAATCTAGATAGTTTGACTTGTTTTATTTCTTCTGTTTTTGTCTTTTATGCAATAAACTTCTGTTTTTCCATTGGAATTTTACAGCCTCATATGAATAAGTTTCAGTGACTGACCACCAATATTAGCTTAAAAATAAATATGATATATCAGGCTAGATCTCATTCTGTGATCTGACTTGTCCAGTAGGACAATCAATTGGGATTATAACACCACCCAAGATGTGAGAATTCGCAATCTTAGTTACGGCCAAGGATCAGTTTACTGTCTCGCAGACGCTCTCTTGCTTCCCACCTTGCTTCAGAGCTGAATATTGGTTGTCAGCTTTCTGACTTGTGTTTCTGCACCTGATGCTTTCATTTTACAGCAGTTCCTCACTTAACTTCTAACCTGCATTCAATAAAAGTGCAGTTTTAAGCAAATTGGATTCTCCCCATAATAATTAATGTATAAACAGAAGTTGGCTTCCTGGTGAAGGTTTATCTTTCGCTTGTCTCATCTTCTATGTTGATTCCTAGTGGTCTCCCGACCTCCAGCAATTTGCAGCACGTTTCGGCACAGTGTCTGTCTTCAGGATGTGGAAAGATATAATGGCAAGAAACCAATAAACAGGGAGAGTGAGAAGCAATGAGCGGGACAGAAGTAGAGAATCTCAGTAGATCTCAGAATCTCCCAAGAAAGCTGCTGAGATTGCAGTTAATTCTCACACGTCACTGAACCATTGCTGTCCCAAAGGCAATAATGACGCAAAAAATGGAAATAGCAGCAAGGTTTTAGGCACACGCCTTAAATAGCCCAAGGCAGTTGGTTAAAACCATACTAGGGTGTGGGGAGACACCCGGATTGGTAAAAGAAACAAAATTGACATAAAGAAAAGCCTCTTCTCACAATGAGTGGTTAGGGTCTGGAATACACCTGAGTTTACCATCGGGTAGGTTCAGTTGAAGAATTTGAGAGAGAATCAGATTGCCTACTAAATGAGATGCTTATTCAGAGAGCTGGTGCAAACCTGATGGCTCAAATGACTGCCTCCTGCACTCTAACAATTTTGAGATTGGTGATGTAAGTTGGAGAAACAGACCCTAAAGAGTAAACAGTTTTAAAGTGAAACCACATTAAGTGGTGTAGCTTATTAAGACTTAGTGAAGAAATGCTGTGATTTAAATTTTCATTCTCCTCATTGAGCATTCCCAGAACTGCATTATGGCACATTTTGTTATTTGTTAACACAGTTTGACAGGTTGTACCTAATATTAATATTCTTTGCTTTAACAAGGACCTTTTTGTGCTTTTGTTTTGCCTTGATTATTTTTGTGTGGAATAAATCTGAAGTAGGTCAAATCTAAAATTAATGGAAATAACAAAGTATGTTTCATGCACAATAATTATTCAGTTTTGTCACTACACTAGGAGCCTTTATGCTGCACTGTTGTCCAAGAGACTAAATGCTTACTTACAACTTGAGATTCTCAGGTTTTGAGGTTTCATTGGGCAGTATACACTGTTTCCTCTGAGCATGAGACATGGCATTAGGAGGTTGGATTCGTGCACTATGATTTCACTTCAGGAAGGGCAGAACGGCATGGGGCAGTGAGTATAAAATGGATGGTATCCAGCTCTGCTAGTGGAATAAAATCCTTAGTTCCTTCTAAGCTGTAATCCATTCCTGATATGTAGGGTCACAGTGCACGTTTGGCAATGTCATTCCGGTTACAAGGATGACTGTTGTGGGAAGTAGTCCAGTAGATTCACTGTCAGGTGGGTCCCCTCTGTGCAATTTTAGACTGAGACACATTCCTGTATTTCGTTATTAATTTTATAAGAATGTCCCTCAGACCAGCTTCTTAAAGAGATCTCCATTTCAGAAACTGTAGCAGTTTACTATGCACTTTCTTTACCAAGCAAAATTTTGGAATTATCAAACAGTGTATAGTGCACATGCATCTGGTTTCAATAGACACGGCCTAATAAAAACACTCCCAGAAATGTAGATGTGGCATCTGTTAGGTAAATCAAAAGTTGACATTCAAGTTATACTGTGAAGAATTGTGTGGCTAAAATTCAAGCACTGCTGTAGTTAAAATAGAGTTAAGGCAGAGTTTTTTTTCTGCCTGCTCACTTTAATGCAAGCTAGATCGAATAAATTCTGTTCCAGAATATCGTGAGACTTGTATCTTGGTTAATAATTTGACTTTGCACAGAACTAAACCTTAGTGTATGTTAGTACTTTAGCTGGCTCTCGGGTCTTTTTAGAATTTAGGCTTTTGCTGGAACACCAGATTTAACTGTGTTGATCCCACTTCCATTTTGGAACTTTATTTATTGTCTTAATATTGTTTAAAAATAGTTTATTACTTGGTGTTTCTTTCATATTGCTATTTATGCTGTGCCAGTCCCTGGCTGGACATCATTTCCTCTGAGCAGTCTTTAGATTCTTTTTCAAAATGAATGCCATGGAAACAATTATAGCAACCCAAGGACCAACATTTCTAAAGAAAGGTCCCGACCGGAAGCGTCAACTTTTCTGTTCCTCTGATGCTGCCTGGCCTGCTGCATTCATCCAACTCCATACTGTGTTGTCTCTGATTCCAGCATCTGCAGTTCTTGCTATCACAAGACATCAAATTCACAGTAGCATTTCTTCAGTAAAGTTTCTGATCGTTTTCAAAATTGGTCTTTTGAACATTACACATTGCCATCAACTAGGCTGAACATGTACATATGAAGATATTAGCGATTTGAGCGTTAGAGCCCAGAAACAGGTTATTCATGCAAACTGATCTGTATAGTATTTATGCTCCACATCTTTAACTAATCCTGTTGATCTTGATTTCTATTCTTTTCTCAATCTTGAATTTTGTTCTCTCTTCCTTTTGTTTGGGGTTGTGGAATTCTGGCTAAACCATTATTCATTTCCCACCTCTCATTACTCTGGAGAAAAGGGGAGGCGATAGTCTTGTGGTACTATTACTAAACTCAACCAATAAGGCAATCAACAAACATATAGAATTGGAGCCCATATACAAACCCATACAGAACAAAACCAGAATTGACACTACTCACCATAATGGACGAGACAGTATAAATTCCAAACGCAGTAGAACAACATCGCTTCATTGGAGCCCTCACTGATGATGTTACCTAGCATGGTGACAAAACATCTGAACAAAACAAGCCAACTCGGCGAGCAAGTCAACAACTTGATTGCTCGACTATTAATCCAGAAACTCCGTTTATATTCAGGGGACCTGAGTTTGAATCCCACAATGGCAGATAGTGGAAATTGAATTCAATAAAATAAAAATGTAGAATTGAGAATCTACAGATGATTGTTGGAAAAACCCATCTGACTCGGGGAAGGAAATCTGCCATCCCCATCTGGCCTACATGTGACTCCAGACTGACAGCAATGTGGTTGACTCTCAGCTGCCTTCTGCAATGACCTAGCAAGACATTCAGTTGTGTCCTTTGCTAAGAATTCTCAATAAAGAAATAAAACCGGATGGACTACCTGGCATCGACCTAGGCACCAGAAAAGACAACAGCAGAAAGAGCCCTGCTGACCCTGCAAAGTCCTCCTTACTAACATCTGGGAGCTAGTGCTAAAATTGAGAGAGCTGTCTCATGGACTAGTCAAGCAACAGCCTGACATAATCTTACAGACAATATTCCGGACAATACCATCACCATCCCTGGATATATCTTGTCCCCAGTGACAGGATGGGCCCTGCAGAAGTGGTGGTGTGGTGGCATACAGTCAGAGGGAGTTGCCCTGGGAGTCCTCAACATACACGGGCAAGGAAACCTGTTGATTACCATGTACCATCTTCCCTTGGCTGCTAGGCGAAGCACTGAGGATGGCAAGGGCACAAAATGTCCTCTGGATGGTGGATTTCAATGACCATCATCAGGAGTGGCTCGGCAGCAGCACTAACAGAGGGAGTTGTTTGGGTCCATAGCTGCTAGACTGAATCACTGAGACAATGGTGAGGGAACCAACAAGAAGGAAAAACATACTTGATCTCATCCTTTACAATCTGTCAGATGCATGTCATGACAGTATTGGTAAGAGTGACCACAGCACAGACCTTGTGGAGATGAAGTCCTGCCTTCACATTGTGAATACCCTTCATCGTGCTGTGTGGCACCATCATTTTGCCAAATGGGACAGACTTCAAACAGATCTAGCAACTCAAGACAGGGCCATCAACAGCAATAGGATTGTACTCCAGCACAATCTGCAACCTCATTGCCTGATGTATCCCCCACTCAAGTCAGGGGATCTGTGGAGAGTGCAGGAGGGCATGGCAGGAGCAACACAAGACATACCTGAAAATAAGATGTCAACTTACTAAAGCTACCAAACAGGACTATTTGCATGCTAAACAGCATAAGCAGCAAGTAATGGATAGAGCAAAGCAAGCTTATGACCAGAGGATCAGATGTTGCAGTCCTGTGACATCCGGTCAAGAATGATGGTGGACAATTAAAACAACTCACTGGAGGAGGCTCCACAAGTATTCATAGCAATCTTCAACCATCTCGGCCTCCTCCTGTGGTCCTCAGAATCACAGATCTTCAGCCAATTCAATTCACTCCAGCAAGATATCAAGAAAAGGTTGGTGGCATTGGATACTGCAAAGGCTGTGGGCCCTGACAACATTCCCGTAATTGTACTGAAGATTTATGCTCCAGAACTTGCCTTGCCGGAAGCCAAGCTTTTCCAGGACAGTTATAACACTGGCACCTGTCTGGCAATTTGCAAAAGTGCCCAAGTATGTCCTGTGCCCAAAAAGCAGAATAAATCTAACCTGGGCAATTACCTCTGGCAAGACGGGAGCAGAGTAAAACACTCCAAACGGAGCTCTGCTGTTCTGCCAGTTCTTTTCTTTTCCACTTGTTCTCCTTTCTCTGCATTTTTTTTCCAAACTTTTAACTCACCCGGAGGGGAAATGGAGGAGGTGACTGCAGACCAGAAGGGTACCAGAGTGGAGGCCAGCGCGGGGAAGCGAGCCCCGGAGAAAACTCACGTTGGAGCAGTTGAGAGCCGATGTGGAGCGGATTGAAGGTTTGGAGTGGAGCGGGGACTCTTGTTCGTCTCGGTCTGACACAGGTGGTCAGACCACATATGGAAGCCCCTGCACTGAGCTACTACAATCTAATGTTTACTTGTAATTTGTTTATCTGACTGTAATGTCAGAGGCGATGGCCTAGTGGTATTATCCAGAGACCCAAGTAATGTTCTGGGGACCCGGATTCAAATCCTGCCATGGCAGATGGTGGAATTTGAATTCAATAAAAATATCTGGAATTAAGAATCTAATGATGACCATAAACCCATCTGGTTCAGTAATGTCATTTAGGGAAGGAAACTGCCGTTGTTACCTGGTCTGGCCTACCTGTGACTCCAGACCTACAGCAATGTGGTTGACGCTGAACTGCCCTCTGGGCAATAAATGCTGCCTAATCAAAGAAGCCCTCATCCATTAATGAATAAAGAAAAAAAAGTCTATCTTTTTAACTGTCGTATTTCTAACTTATACTATGAATTGCTGTAAAGTATTGCAAATACTTTCCTTTTTTATTCCCCTTTTGTATCTAAGATTTGTATCTAGGTACTTTGTACTTAAGATGGCACCATAAGAGACAGCATTGTAAACTTTTCACTGTACTCCTGCACTTGAATGCATGTGACAATAATGCATATTCTATTCTTTTTAACCGCCCGATGAGTCTACTCTCGACATCAGTAAAGTGAAGGAAGGCGTCATCAAACAGCACTTGCTCAGCAATAACCGACTGAAGGATGCCCAGTTTAGGTTCTGCCATGCCCACTCAATTCCTGACCTCATTGCAACCTTGGTTCAAACATTGACAAAAGAGCTGAATTCCAGAGGTGAGCTGAGAGTGACAGACCTTGACGTCAAGGCCGCATTCAATCGAGTGTGTCATCAACGAGCCCTTGAGAAATTGGAATCAATTGGTATCAGGGGGCCAACTTTCTATTGGCTGGAGTCATACATGGCACATAAGAAGATGGTTGTGTTTGTTGGAGGTCAATCATCTCAACTCCAGGACATCTCTGCAGGAGTGCCCCCCAGGGTAGTATCCTAAGCCCAACCATCTTCAGCTGCTTCATCCATCATAAGGTCATAAGTAGAGCCTGAGAGTTCTCGGATACTGAAGCAGTCCATGTTCAAATGCAAGGAGAGATGAGGACAATGTCCAAAGTTTGGCTTACAAGTGGCGAATAACATTCACTCCACACAAATGCCAGGCCATGACTATCACCAATAAGAAACAATCTAAGCACTGTCCCTTGACATTACTTGAATAATAGTTTTAATTTATTTATGAAGTGCCCAAAGGAAAGGAGGCTGAAATCAGCGTCATCAACAGGGGGTTTCGTTGTAGACCTAAGTAGTCTGTAGAAAGGATCGTAAAATGTAATTAGCTGTATAAGTTATACATGAGTTCCTGAGTGAGCATCATGTTGAAGGCAAGACAATTTGTCTATATTTCTGTTCAGACCATCTGAAAGTGTGTCACATTGTCATTGAGACTGACTGCAATGGTGGAAAGTTTTTTGAGGTTCAGTTTACTTGCATTAAATTTGTCCACGTGTGCTTGCTGATGCACGCAGTTCAGTTTGTGGGAAGACAGACACTGTTGCAGCTTCCCTTTGGCTGCATCTCAGTGATTTGAAGGAACCAACAGCAGGGAATGGTTAGGCCTGCACTTCAAGCAGAGAAAATATTAGCATTATTGTTCCCTGTGTGGAATGCAAGTGAAGCTCTGTCTCAGTTTGGTTTTTGCAAGAGAGAAGCCATTGCAATATTTGTTCTAGATTGCAGCTAGCAGAAGAAATCTACGGTGGTCATCAGAGTCTGGTGGCAGAAAATAGGATTTGCTCAGAAAGCTGGGGGAAGACAATTGCTGAGCCATTTCCAGTCAGGAAGTCTGTAAAGAAAGGGTGAGGGTTGTATAGCGAATGAAAAGCCTTTAGAATCTTACCTTGGAGGATTGCTGGGACAGTAAGGAGGGTTATGAAATTCTCAAGGGCATTGGCATACCTCCTTGAGTTGGTCCCCAAAAGAAGTAAATGAACCTTCAAGATTGTTGTAATGCACACATTGGTTGAAGTAAAAAGAACTGAGATCACTGCATAAACAATTATAAGCTATTGTGTTGTTAAATATTTTGTTTAGTTATACAGAATAATTTTTTTTGTTTCAAATGTCAGGTTGTGGTACGTTACTGTCTGTTGATTGCTGGGTGTTCAGATTTCTCTTTAAACATTAACTGTCCCCGACAAGATTGTTTACTATCTTGCAATGATAAAGAATCAGGTTTGCTTTTGATATCCCTGTACATTCATAGAATCATAGAATATACAGTGTAGAAACCGGCTATTGAGCCCATCATGCCTCTACTGGTTCTTTAAAGACCTAGCGTGTTTGTACTAATCACCTTTTTTGTCAAAGCCTTGCAGATGTTATTGTATCTGCTTTATCCCCACTTACATATAACTTGTAGAATTTCACTGTCCTCTAAAATTATCATAAATCCAGAGGGAACGATGTGCAAGAAACTTCATGCAAAGATATTGGATGTGCTTCATTCTGAATTTGCAGCGAAACTTGAAAGAAAACCAAAGGGCTTGCATTTGCCTAACAACTTTGTGGAGCTAAGTTGTGCATTTTTCTATTTGCATTCTCCACCAGGTTTGTTTTAGCATAATATTTGCAGCAGTCTGATGCTACTAATGTCTTTAAAATAAAAGCTCTTGTATTACATGCTTTAACTCTTCTCTAATCACTAATCTGGTCTCATACAACTGAGCATGAATTTTGATTGAAGGAATGAATTAGAAGCTAATTACTCAGGTGCACATAATACTTTTTTTTGTTTTGCAGGCCTCCTTGTAGGGACACTTGATACGGTGTTTGATTCAACTTCCAAAGTAGCTCCATATCGTATTCTACATCAGACACCAGAATCCCAAGTCTATTGGTCCATTGCTTGTGGTAAGTTAAAGCATTACTGTGCAAGTTATTCAAGGTCAGGGTTACCTTTCATTGTCAATCATTTCAGATTGCATACGTGATCTGATAAATCATATTAATGTGATGCAAAATGCAAAGTAACACAAGTTAAATATTATAAAAATCTGTAAGTACTCTTTTTTTAAAGAAACAACATTGTTTTTATTCTTGAATGCTGTCCTGCTGCTGCTTTACCCAAGATGTTTTGTACTTTTGCCCAAAGACGTTTAAGCCCATTATTTTAAAAGGTTTGCATCCCTTTATATAACAGGATATCAGAGAGGGGCCATTCTGTCCACTGTATACGTGCTGCCTGTAGGAAATATCTGTCCAATTATTATCATTCTCCATAACATAGAACAATATAGCACAGGAACAGACCTTTTGACCCACCATGTCTGTGCTAACTGATGCTGTTCTAAACTAATTCCATCTGCCTGTGCCTGATCCATATCGTCCTGTTTTCTGCCTGTTCGTGCGTCTGTCTAAATGGCTGTTAAACCTTGCTGTAGTATCTGCTTCTACCACCCCCACTGTCTTTACCTTATTTCCCACCCTTCCTAAAAGTCAAATATCTTTAAATATTCATTTCAGTGTTTCTGCAGCCATGTTGCTTTAATGACAATGAGATCAAACTCACTGATCAGACCACCTACATTTTCATCCAAATCAGTTACATATATCACAAAGAACAGAGGTCCCAGCACTGATCCTTGCGGAACGTCACAGGTCACAGGCCTGCATTCACACAGTCATACAGAGTTGAAACGGGCCCTTCGGCCCAATCCATCCATGCGGACCAGCTTTCTGAAACTGAACTAGTCCCATCTTCCTGCACGTGGCCCATATTCTTCTCAACCTTTTCTATCCCTGTACCTGTCCAAATGTCTTTTAAATGTTGTAATTGTAACCGCCTCTATAGCGTTGTCTGGCAGCTCGTTCCATATATGCACCAACCAGTGTCAAAAAAGCACCCTCCACAACTTATTTTCGCATTTTTGTTTTTTTTTTGGTTGTTTTTAGTTTTTTTTTCAGTTTTGTTTTAAACTTATCTTCTGGAAAGAGTTTGGTCATGGCGGTGGTGCGGAGCAGTAGCTGGGGCCCAGCACAAGTCCAGATGGTGGTCAGCAGCGAAGCCTGGTGTTTGGTGGCGTAGCAGCTGGTGAACCTTAGCAGGACATAGCCCAATGTGGGTGAAAGCATGCCCAGCGCAGGGGAGAGCAAACTCTTATGGGGAAAGCCCAGCGTGGAGTGTCCGCAGGCTCATGGCTTAAGAAAGGACTGTAATGTTTAACCTTTAAATTTATTTCTTTATTTTTCTACTTTATACTAAGAAGACCTGTAGTGTTGACTTTTTAACGTATTGCTTTATTTTTCTATTTTTGTACCTAAGATTTTGTACCTGGGTACCTTCTGTCCCTAAAATGGCACTGGGAATAGCAACACTGTAAAAAATTTTCATTGTATTCCTGTACCCCTGTACTTGAGTACACATGACATTTCAATCTAAATCATAGATTTCATGTGATTGGATTCAGTGGACCAGCCTCTCTCAAGGGACCTTGTCAAAGGCCTTGCTGAAGTCCATGTAAACAACATCCACTGCCTTAGCCTCATCAATCATCTTCGTCACTTCCTCAAAAAACTCAGTCAAGTTTGTGAGACAAGACTTCTCCTGCATAAAGCCATGCTGACTATCCCTAATAAGTCTATTCTCCAAATGCAAGTAAATCTGTTCCTAAGAATCTTTTCTAATAATTACCCTACCACTGATGTCAGGCTCTCAGGCCTATAATTTCCTGGATTATCCCTGTTGCCTTCCTTAAACAAAAGAAGAACAGTGGTGGCTATTCTCCAATCTTCTGGGACCTCGCCTGTGGCCAAAGAGGATACGAAGATCTCTGTCAAGGCCTCCGCAATCTTCTCCCATGCTTCCTTCAGTATCCTGGGTTGCAGCCCGTCAGGCCCTGGGGACTTAGCTACCTTAATGTTTTTCAAGACACTCAACAGCTCCTCCTTAATATTGACTTGCCTTAGTGACTTTATGCATGAACTCAAGATTTTTGTGAAGCAGTGTTAATTAATTTAAGATAATTGGGCCAGGGTTTGCAGATGTAATTCAATTCTCACCAGTTTTGCATTCTGTCCTTGCTCTTGTAATTGACTTGGTGAAAAGAGGGAAAAAACTTAGAAAGGTAGAGACCAGAGGAATTATTTATTGCAGTGTAGGTGTTTCTCCGTTGGACACACTAAAGTGAAGTACAGCAATGCCACCACTAGTAGCAGAGTGTAATTACAATGTTTCAGAGATAGTAGGAACTGCAGATGCTGGAGAATCTGAGATAACAAGGTGTAGAGCTGGATGAACACAGCAGGC